CGCTATATATTTGAGGATCTATATCAACTAGTGCGTCATTATCTTTTTTGTTAGTTATGTTCAATGCTTTCATTGTACCCCAGAAAGCTTTAGGATCAGACTTTGCCTTGCGTTCTAAGAATGCTTTTTTTTCGGCTTTCGTTGAAGTATTCACTAAGTTTCTCAAGGTTTTGTAATATTCGTAAGATTGCTCAGTACCCATTGTTTTATATTTACTGTAAGATTCTTTTTTCAATTTAATCATGTGTTTGAGGTTATGTGTCATCCAAGGTGCAGGGGCTTTGGATATCCTAATAGTTTTGAGTGGGGCATGAATATCGAACAAAAACAACAAATTATCATTCCAAAACTTTACCATGGCATCGACACTGTCCAGTGAGAAGATATAATCCCAATTCATTGAAAAAAGGTCTCGGAGGAAAGTATTGTAACTGAACGTAGAAAAATCACGATAAGTTAAAACTTTTGGTTGTAATTTATTTTTTTTCAACTTCATATCACATTTCACTAAGCAATGATCAGAGATGTTATCCATCTTGAAAACATTTGCACTTGATACTAAATCTGAGTCAGATGATATAATGACATCGATGAGAGTACTACTATCGCCTACAACCCGCGTCGGATGGAAACATTTCAAATGTAAACCATAATTATTTAAAAAGTTTTGAATATTTTGGTATTTGTATTAGGCTCATTAAGCATATCCACATTCAAGTCTCCCCCAAATAATAAATGATCATATTCTGGTAATAGTTTAGTTATTGTATTTTCTAGACTATCCAGACAGGTAGGAAAATTTACATTTGGTGGTCTGTAAAGTGTGCCCAAACACAAACTCTTACCTGCAACTTTTATTGAAATCCATAAACTCTCAAGTCCATTCTCCTGACCAACATCAATAACTTTATACTTGAAACAGTTTTTTATGTAAAATGCGACTCCTCCACCTCTTCCAACTCGGTCATTACGCACTAAGTTATACCCTGGAATTCCAATTCCACTGCTGGGAAATGACGAGTCGAGCCAGGTTTCTGAGAGCCCTAAAATATCTAAACATTCATCAGCAACAATTTCCGAAAACAAATCAAACCCTGTGAAAACCGATCTTATATTGAAATGTGCAAAATTCATCCATGTATGTTTTGTCATTTGAAATATTTATTATATAAAGGTTATGCTCGACGGCAACTCTCTTTCACAACAATTATTACAATGGAACATTCAAAAGCAATTCACTCTCAATTTGAAGTTTATATAAAATTCATAATAAGTGTTTTGTATACAAAATGATGATGCAGTTGATTATAACATTCATATTATATATTTAGTAAAGGAAAAGATAAATAATGGAAACTTAACAATAATATAATTGTAGGACCCTGTATAGCACATTATTTCTGCATATGCTAAAAAAGTAGTATTGGAACCATAAACGAATTCATTAATACTCTGAATAAGTGAGCCAAGCAAAAAACATATAACAAAGAAAAAAGAGTTTTTATTTGGTTTTTATTTCTTGCAAGATATGAGACACTTCCACACTCAGCTGATAGCCTATTTAATGAGATTGTATATCTCCTTCACAGTTCACCGAGCACCTCTTCCTGTCTTTCTCATTGTAAAAATAAATTTTCCCACCTTGGGACCATGCATGCTTCTTTCCGAATTTATTTTTGGCCATTGTAAGCAGAGCAAAATTTTTCTTCGTCAGATCTTCGAAAATTGACACCCCATTATTTTTCAGCTCTTTCTTCGCACTGAAGACTTGTGTTTTTTTAACATTACTCAAGAATTTTACAATCACTACTCGAGGTTTGTTCTCGTTGTCGTCCCGCCGATTAATTCGCATAACACAATCAAAGTCTTCAATGCAACAATTTACCTTCAGCTGTGAGTTGAAAAATTCAATAACATGCTCCAAAACAGAAACTCCTTCTTCCTCCTCTGCTAAGCCATAAATTCTGAGTGAGTTTTTCTTAATTGATTGCTCCAGACGTTCTATCTTTTCATCAGCCACAACGATAGCTTCTTGATTATTTTGAACGCTATTTTTAATATTAGTAAGGGTACCATTTATGGAATTCAATTTCTTGTCGAGCTCATCGAATCGCATATTGAAAGATTTTTGAACTTTATCAGTGAATTCAGAACATACTTTAGCAATCAGTTCTTCCGTAGTTAGTTCATTGATGGGTTTATTCCCTCTAGTTTTACTCATGTTTACTGCTAGCTTTCTTGATACACACAGAACTAAAACTATTAGGTTCTTCACTTTTCCACTATGAATTGTTCCCACAATTATTAGAAAAATCACGAGAGCTGCGGTGAGAACGTCTACTCGATCATGCTGCCGATCGTCGACTCGATATGTCTTACATTTTGAGGGTCAGGTGACGTAACAATGTTGACATTTATTTTCTATCCAGGTTTGAACTCTTTCTCATAAGTGAATATATAGTATCATAAGGCCACCCATCGTACTGAATGAACTGTTTCAATTTGATATTTCATCATATCTCAGACAGAAGTCACTTCAATATTCTAGCTAGCTGTTGATTAAATAGTTTACTCACCTCAGGGCACAGTTACTGCTTCTCAAATGTAGTTGTACTCGGCAATAGCTGGACCGTTAGCGTAATATATCAATCAACGGCTGGACCCTCTCTGGCTTGCTCTTGCTCAGTCTCTAGACCATAACGAAGTCTTCTCACCTTGGTGTCTCTGTTTGGCAAAAAAATGTTCCACATGAATATTCCTCATGCATTCAAAAACAATTTCATGATCCGTTTCTTCAGGTTATGTGCCTTCGGAAACTTCCAATGTCCCTAGGATATTGAACCCAGGATCTTTACAAAATTGATTGTTATGATTGGTTGTATATTCAGAGCAACTGTTATTCATGGGTCCCAAAAACGCCTAGGTATCGTTATTCAGATTTTGAGTATAGGTTATTCAATAAATTGGTTCATTCGCGGTCGCCAAGGTCATTAGATGACGTTGTGATGACATTTAAAACTACGTGAAAGCATCCTGACTTCTGGCATAGATTGAAAGTTCAGACATGATTTTCCATAGTTTTTGTGCCATCGCAATGAACTTGACGACCGCGAATAGGTGTACGATGAATGGAAGTTCATCATACCGAGATAAAATGAAAATTTTCATCAGAAAGAGATTGTGAATTTTCAATGTATTTCCTTATAATATTCTGAGAATATTCTTTTTTCAGTACTATGATAGCTCAGTACCAACCAGATCAGTGTGTCAAAATATCACTCTCTTATTCTGAATCGCCTCCAATCTTGTTCAACAATAATTTGATCTACTTCTGATGAAAAATAATAGATCAGGAAGATTTCTGTCCAAATTAACTATGCAACTATTGAATCTTCCTCACCTGTAGTGATTTGCCAGGTTGAGGTAGCGCATGGCACAAATGGAACCGAGCATGACTCTTCTCTAAAAGGTCACACCGAAGTCGTTGAAACGAGAACAAAAGTGTTATGGATATTGATCTTCCGCTTGGTGTAGGTATATGATAAAAGTTGGATCACACGAAAACAGCTAATAAACTGAGTAGGATAAGTATATCTGTTTTAAGAGATTTAATATGCACAGACAGTGAAGTTGTGCAGTTGAATCCAGACGTGCAGTCCAATAACATAAAGCACTCAGCAGCAGAAACTTCAATTGACTGGAACTTGTTCGGTAGTTTGGTCAAAGAGAGGAATACTTTGAAACATATGAGTGAAATAAATTACGAGAGCTGAATCGTTCAATAATTAGTTGAATTGATCTTAACCTTCGATGAGTCCTGTTGCTGCTGCTGCTGCTGCTGCTGATGATGAAACATGATGAACACGAAACTGATGTACCAACTAGCAGGGAATCAGAATCAAATTACGCAGGCAGAGGTCCATTGACTATACTAGCTGCAGAATTCATTATCATGACCTAGAAACATTTTTCCGAATTATATCTCAGACATGACATATGCCTGCTCACTGGTGTCAATGACTGAACAGAACTCTAGCACTAGTGAAACTCAGGTAGAAAATGCCGTATATCATTCCATGTGCGACTACTTTTTGTTCCAACACGTTTTGACTCGTTTCTGGTCCAAGAATTAAACATAATATCAGGAGTTGAGATGGACAATTCCTGGTTCTTCTTTCAGATGGCAGTTACACATAATGTCTAACTCGACACTGATCAATTGAGGACAGTGCTCCTTCTGGTAGCTTGAGTTCCTCCCTCTTACTCTTACCAGAGATCATACACTCCCCGTACCATTGGAATAAATGAGGAGCGATCAGCCAAATGAATCCACCTTTGGGCAAACATTATTTCATGATCGATTCCTACTCCTTTTGGTGAGATAAATCCGATGGCGCAATCAGTTCCAACCATAACTCGTTAAATCCCATTCGAAATCTACCTCAAAGTCGAGCAATTCAAGCAAAACCAGATGAATCCCAAAAATTGAATTACATTGGTCTGTTGCAATCCCCAAAAAGGAATGAATAAAAAAACGAAATGAATAAATAAATAAAATAGAAAAATGCCTGGTTAAGGTAAAAGGGTTGGTATTAAAAATATTTATATCAAAATAAACACTTTTTACATCATAAAATTAGTTAACTCAAGCAAAAACTGATAAATCTATTCTGTAATTTGCAATAATTACTATGTTAATCATCCAAAAACAAAAAGAAAACAGTATTCACGAGGTCAATATCAACATATTCCAGTTACATCATTTATTTTCTTGGTTAAAGTTATTGACGCTCTAATGGACGGTTTTTTGCCATTATTTCAAAACTTTATAAAATGGATTTATCTGTTAAATACGGTCTGTAGGATAATCGAGGAGGTGGTACATTCATTATTTCAATTTTTTTGGGATTTTCTCTCCTCGTTTCTATAAAATAAAAATAATAATGGATTTATCTGGTTTTGGCTGATAGCTCCTCAAATCTTCTCATGTCTTTTTTCAGAGCCCGACACCGCCCCAGTACGTCTTCTGGTACCACAACGATCACATGATCAACTACGACACCGCGAGAGGCGGTATTTCGGTGGAGACGGTTCCTGGCCCACGTACCCAGAGCCGGCTCACCATCAGGGACACCAACGATGCCGATTCGGGCAACTACACCTGTTCGGCCTCGAACACCGAATCAGCTTCCATTTACGTCTTTGTTTCTGAAGGTTAGTGTAGGCACAGTGATATGGTCAAAGCATAGTATATTATCATCAACTTGTCCATTAAACAAATAGCATGAAATATCTGGGAGCAGGCCCGGATTACCCCATAAGGCCATCCTAGGCCATGGCCTAGAGCGTACGTTTGCGATGGGCGCAGTATACGGGAAAATCCGATGTCACCTGACGAAGACAATCACGTGACTGCCGCAGACTGCCATCTCGCCATCTTTTCCGATATGTTTTTTTTTCGTTTCTGTTATCTGCCTACTCAAATGTTTTGATAGCTCAAATAACCCTAAAGAAGCTCTGAAACGAGGTTTCCAGTGATATATATGCCAAGAAAATTTCACACTCCCCAGACCTACTGAAAGATTGAGATTGAATTTAGAACTTTGGCCTAGAGTGTAAATAGCTGCAAATCCGGGCTTGTCTGGGAGTAACATTAGATCGACACTTTAGAGGGGATATACACGCTCAGAATATCGCCAAAGCTTGTAAGGCACATTCAAAATTCAAGTATTCGGTAAAGATTTTGCTCACTTATCATATGAAGGTTCTGTATCACGCATTAATGGAATCCAGAATACCAATATGAAATACTAGGATGGGGTGGCGTAGCTGAATATCCACCTGAAAAAACTTGATATTTTGCAAAAATTATATTCAAGAGACCCAGTAGATGTCTTACAGACGAACTATGCATAGAAGCGAGATGTTTCGATGTGAAACAATCATTCTTTTATCGTATCTTAGTTAACCTCTATGAAAACAAACACGACATGATAACGATAGAACACAAATACACAACAATACAAATAAGCCATCCTAATATGCGTACGAAATCCTCAAGAAAGGGGTAGAACAATAATGTTATACTTTGAACCTTGCACCTCGGCTTTTCAACTTCTCACATAGAAGTACAATAGATCTCATCATTCACACCAACTCTATTACTTTGATAAGAAAAACCTCAAATCGCATACATTTATGACTGAAGTAAACTTAATCCAAAATAACTGGTTTATTACCTCCCTGTTCAATCCAGTATTGAAAACGTGAGGAAATACCCCTACTTCCTCAACATAACATAACTATCTCACAAGCAGCAAAAATCAAAATTTATGAATGAACAAGGAAAACCCTTATGAAAACAATATCATGGAACTGAGATTTATTGCAATTAGTATATGGAATATTGTGTTCCCGATTGTGTTAGAAGGAATTTATTGAAAAAGATATTGTATCGTATCGTTAACATTTTGAATATAGGGTGATTCAAAATTCGATATAAATATTTCAAGAGCATATTAATTGTTGGGATCAAAATAGGACCTTTTCTTCATGTAAACATGTGTCCTAAAATTCACCCCCTCCGAGCTACAGCCACTGTAAATGACTGTAACTGACTAGAATAACAGATCAAATCTTCCGAAAATCAGCAGACCCCTGTCCTTTCAGACACTTCATTTAATTTTTTCTTCAAAAATTATGTAAACCCAGTGTTGAAGGGGGGTTGGAGGGGGGTCTCCACTTTCATTGTCCAAAATGTAGTGCCTTTCAGGACACATGTTGATATGGGGAAAAAGTCTAGTTTTGATCCCAACAATACGTCTTTAAAATATTTACATCGAATTTTAAATCATCCTATATATTATCTAACTCAGGAGGTCTTATCACTCCATTTTTTTCACATCATTTTTGATATATGAAGTTTCAACATTTTCCCATCCTGCCCACACACAAGTGTCATTTTATGTGTCTACTCTCATTTAATCAACACTTGTCGCATTATACAGGATGAGTCAATAGTGTGTTCTCCTTCGACACACTATTGACTCATCCTGTATTCATTGTATATTTAATTTTGAATTTCTGGTAAAGAAGTATCATATGTATATCGTTATTATCATAATCATGATTGTTTTCATATGTATGACAAATTGATATTCATCATATATGACATGGAAAGAAATTCCGTTTTGAAAAAACTCCATCACGTATTTGCGATAAGATGTCTATAATAACAGGTTTCTATCGTTCAAGTTTGAACTCATTGATTGAGTATGAAAGTATTGGAAGAAAAGATCCTCCGATATATTATGAACATAATTTATTTGAGAATATTCAAGTCTATTCAATTGAAAATACAGCGCCTATGGAATAAAATGTACCTCGAAACCTGCACAAAAGGGCCCCGTTTTACGGTAACATATAGGAGTTCATAGAAAAATGTATGATGGCTAAAATGTACCTCAAACATGGAGATTATACCGCTTCTTTGCCCTTTGTCAGTCTCCATTACATTTGGTTATATCTCTTTGCATATATATATATATATATATATATATATATATATATATATATATATATATATGTGTGTGTGTGAAAATCTTCCTCCGTCCATTGCATTCTGATAACCATTTCTAATGAGTGCTTTATTCAAGTCATGCTTTACATCATTCAACTATTCGGATCCAGAATCTGCACTTCTTCTTCCTACTAGTTTTTATGTCAACATTTTATAGCTGTCGTCTTCTGCGCTTTCGACATATATCTGTTCATTCATTGCACCAGCTGTATTTCTTTTGTTAGGTATATTGCTCTGAAATGAGAATGAGAAATTATTGATTTCCCATTTCAGCATCAGATTCAAAATGTCGGAAAACAGACAAATGAACGACTTGGAAATCACTTTGATTGATTGACCTATGGTCAACTCGGCCATTTTAACTTCATTCCGATGGAGTTTTCTTACTCATTCGATTCGAATAATATTACCAGAATATCAACCAACCTATAATACATTATCATCTCAGAAATGTATACAAAATTGAATCAATAAAAAATATATTATTACGTTTGATTAAACATTGAAAAAAATCGAATTGATTTCAACACTGAGATCATGAAATGTTGTGTTATTCCAGGTCCCCATCGGATTGTAGCTAGCTGACAGAAAAATGTCTCAGAAATTTGCAGAATATTAGAAAAAAATAGGTGCACAATTTCGAGTAAATTTTAATATAATTTCAAACCTTCATGATACTCACTGCGCTCTCCTATTTTGACAAAGAGTTTATTCCATTGGAATTCTTTACTGTGTCTGAATAATGTATTATTCTTTCAGTCCTTGAGTAATTCTGAAACGCCAGTGACAGAGGAATGTGCGAATTCCTTTCATTAGATACGGTAGGTATTCATTTTCCACTCCAGAATCATTTTAATTACCATCGAGATAAATTTCCCGCAGCTTTCCCATTCAGATCGATATCACGTAGCTGACAAGATCAATGGCGTAGCTAACCCGATGAAACTCATGAGGTTTACCCCTCAAGAAGATGGAAGAATATAAATATCCTCAATATTCTAGTTCCACAACGAGTTCATTATCATCTGTATCAAAAGGGATCTGCAGAATCCTCGAAATTTGCTGGCTCTAAATATCTTATCTGGTATGTTATGTGAAGAACACTCAATAATTCGATTGTCGCATTGGCGATGCTATACAGATAGCGAAAGGAAAAAAGTGACGTTATCATTGGTCAATTCAAATTGGTCAGCTATCGTTGAACAATGAACAATAACACGTCTTAGAGTCAGAATTGATTATTGCAAGCACCAGCTGTACCTTGTATGTGAAAATTGAACTAAGAACGCATAGCATAACAGAAATGTATTATTATTATTCGCCTAGAATTTCATGATCATGATTTCAACAATTGCAAAACTCTAAAGAGATATTCAGATACGCCTATGGACAAGGTCACAATTAATGAAAACGAAAGAGCCATCTGATAAGAAAAACCTAAATTAGCGTTAGCTTTTAGCGACTACCATTTGTTTCAATCTAGAAAATGTCAGGAATGATGCATGTCTGTCGCAGAGGCGATAGAGAAAACTCAGATAACTGTGACACTATACACCTCGCCTACATTTTCGTTGTCTGGGACAATATGTTATGTCTTTTTCATTTAGGGAATTCACTTTCCGTTAGATACAACATATCGACGAAATGAAATATTCAGGTATAGGTAGGTATATGTCGTAGGAATTCATAAAACATAAAGATATGAGCATTAGGAAGAACATGAGAAATGAAATTGTGTTGTACAGTAGATAATTTGATGAAACCGGTGGAGTTCGAAGACAAAAACATGTCAATACCTATCACAAAATTGTCTCGTGTGCAGATTCTACCATGTCTACAGTATCATTCAAGTCGGCATCATATGGAAAAAACTTAATGATAATTTATTTTAAAATACGTTTTGTTCGTTGAGTTTTGCTTTAAAACGAAAAATAAACTACTAGGTTGTGGTCACGTGACTTTCGCTTCTTGTCAAAAGTTTGTTTTCAAATTAATCGCTGAAAATAGGCTAATTCGTTCGAATTTCAAAAAAAAATTGCGAAGGAGAAGTGTCTCTATTCCGATTCAACATAAATATGTCTCGAATCCGAACGTTCCAAAACAACTTTCAGTTAATGATATTTTCTTCCTTTCCTCCGAAATGTATGTTTCATTTTAGCACCTTTCAATCACTAATTATCGACAAAAATATGATTTTCTTCAGAAAATACTAATTCTCGCTTCAAATTTCTGTTATGTTTGATGCAAAGTTGATCTATCGTCTAGCATTCAGGAGTGAAATTTATTCAAATGGATTCTTCCAGTACTAAAATGATGCCAAGGTCACCTATCAAAATATCATCAAGCTACTTTACGTTTCTCACCAAAGCTTTGGACAGTTCTGTCGAAGTTACAATTATTAGAAGAAATCAGAAAATATCAAGAGCTAACAGTTGCAATAGAATGTTCAAATTCGAAACTCATGTGTATATTGTGAACAGAAACAAATTTTCCTTGTGAACTTTTTTGAAATTCGAACAAATGATACAAATTTCAGCGATTAATTTAAAAAAATTCAACTTTTGACATGCAGCGGAAGTCACAACCGAGTAGGCTAATCTTCATCTTTTTTGAAGCAAAACAACACCCAAGTCGA